CACGGGCAACAAGTTGAAAAGGCTAAAAACCAAAACCTATGTGGCATACGGCCAAAGTTAAAAAAAGCTATAAATAAACAAGAAAAAAGCTTTTATTAAATATAAAAATGAAAGAACGCTATCATTGTTTAAACATTACAAAGAATATAACAGAATATGCAAAAAGGAAAAAAAGCCCACAAAATTTGAAAACGAACGACAGATTGCAAAAGATAGCAGGACAAACCGCAAAAAATTCTTCAAATTTATTAATAGTAAAAAGGATAGGTCCGAGCATGTAGGCCCATTACAAAATAATCTACAGTGGGTGACTGGGGACAAAGAGAAGGCAAATTTATTAAATACCTTCTTCAGCTTTGTGTATACAAAGGAGCATGGGGGAGTTCTTGTCCACAATGGGCATGGTATTGACACAGCCCCAGATGATCCACATTGACTCACAATTGATATGATCCAGAAATATTTAGACAGAATAAAGGTGAATAAAGCACCTGGACCGGATGGCATTTATTGAGGAGGTGAGCAAAACCTTGGACAGAGGTTTGGTGGTGGACGTGGTATACTTGGATTTCGCAAAACATTTGACACAGTTCCCCACACATGGCTAATGTGTAAGGTAAAGTCTATGGGCTTGGAAAAATCTGTATGTAAATGGATAGAAAACTGGCTAAAAGATCGTATTGAGAGAGTAGTGGTTAATGATTCATACTCTGAATGGTCTGGGGTCTTCAGTGGTGTACTCCAAGGTTCAGTGTTTGGGACCCTTACTTTTTAATACATTTATAAATGATATAGGGTCTGGGATTATAAATACCATTTCAGTCTTTGCAGATGACACCAAGCTTTGCAGTGGAATAACATCCTTACAGGATGTCTTCAACTTACAAGCTGACCTCAATGCACTGTTTAATTGGGCAACTATGTGGCAAATGAGGTTTAATGTTGATAAATGTAGGGTTATGCACTTGGGGGCTAAGAATATGCATGCATCATACATACTAGAGGGGAGTACAACTGGAGGAATCAATGGTGGAGAAGGATCTGGGGGTTCTGGTAGATCACATGCAATACCAAGCCGCCATTTCTAAAGCAAGCAAAAACCTCTCTTGTATTAAAAGAGGTATAGACTCCAGAGAGAGATATCATATCACCCCTGTACAAATCATTAGTAAAACCTCATCTGGAATACACAGTTCAATTTTGGGCACCAATTCACAAAAAGAACATTGGGGAACTGGAGAAAGTACAGAAAAGGGCAACCAAACTGATACGAGGCATGGAGATCAGCTATGAGGAAAGATTAGACGAACTAAATTTATTCTCTCTTGAGAAGAGGAGATTAAGGGGGGATATAATCAACATGTATAAATACATCAGTGGTTCATATAGTGAACTCGGTGTAGAATTATTCACCCTGAGGTCATCACAGAGGACAAGGAAGCACTCTTTATGTCTGGAGGAAAAGAAATTTCATCTCCAAATACGGAAAGGTTTCTTCACAGTAAGAGCTGTGAATATGTGGAATAGACTCCCTCAAGAGTTGGTTCTGGCCAGCTCAGTGGATTGCTTTAAAAAAGGCCTGGATTCCTTTTTGGATACACAGAATATAACTGGATACTAACATTTATAGGTAAAGTTGATCCAGAGAAAATCCGAATGCCTCTCGGGGGATCAGGAAGGAAATTTTTTTTCCCCTGCAGGAGCAAATTGAGTCATGCTTTGCTGGGTTTTTTTGCCTTCCTCTGGATCAACTGTAGGTGTAGGATTATAACTTTTTGTTTTGGTTGAACTGGATGGACGTTTGTCTTTTTTCAGCCAGACTAACTATGCATGTAACTATGTAACAAAAGGGGAACACTAAAGATGCAGCAATAGAACCTGCTGCTGACAAAAAAAAAAAACAAAAAATTAAAGAAAAAAAAAATATGGGAACACTAGTGATGCAGAAGTGTTGTAAAAACAACACACTGACACCACAACATTGCACTACATTCACTATACTGTCTCCTAACAAACCACTAACTAACCTCACCTAACTCCATTAACACACTACACAAGGCTGCTGTGTACGCAGCCTTATATAGTGTTGGGCGTGGACTTAGCCCCTGAGCCATCATTGGCCAAAGTCACCAAGACTCTGGCCAATCATGGCTCTTCCTGTGAACTCAGCTGTGATTGGCCAAAGCATTGCACCTGACCTGTGGTCAGGTGCAATGCTTTGGCCAATTACAATGCGCAGTCAGAGTGCATTGCATTGTTAGGGGGCACGGATAAACGCCCAGATGTATCCAATGTTCGAGTCGAACATATGTTTGACTTGAACATATAGACCATCCCTACCCAATATCTTCAAACTAATCTCATATCACCTGTGCTCCACATGCAGTTCACCTCCTGTCAACAATATATGCTCCCCTCCAGTACTTGACCCCAATTTTAAATCAAGGTCAAATGCGCTTTTGCCCCCTCCTGGGCTCAGGTCAGAGTGGCTCTTGGTAGTACTCTTTGCCTTCTCCGATCATAAAACACAGCGGTAATTACTCATGCAAAAGAAATTGGGACCAATAGTGTTCTCCGTATACCTAAAACATTTCATCAGCCTCTCAGATAAAAGAACACTCACATATAAGTGCACACAAAGTGCTATGGCAATAACATTATAACATTCTATGGCAACATCCCCTCTCACCACAGACTCAGACTCTGCAAGATGGCCCACTGTGTGGCATACTTGTTACAGGCTTTTTCAGTAGCTGCGAAAGTCTTCTTTATGCTGAAGCTACTTCTTAGTGACATTGGCTGTATGCCTGGGGTCATTATCCTACTGCAGAATACATTTGGGGCAAATCACAAGCCTCCCTGATGGTGGATAAGTACTGTATATGCCTTTATATCTCAGCATAAGGACACCATTGATCCTGACAATTTGCAGAAATGCAACCCCAAACTTGCAAAGAACCTCCAGCATGCTGCACTGTTACCTGCAGACACTCATTATTATATGGCTTTCCAGCCCTTTAGCAAATAAACTGCCTACTGCTACAGGCAAATATTTCACATTTTGACTCATCAGTCCTGAGCACCTGCTGCCATTTTTTTGCGCATTAGTTTCTATGTTTTTGTGAATAGTTGAGTTTCTTAGCCTTGTTTACATGTCGGAGGTATGACTTTTTGGATGCAATCCATGAAGACTACTTCTGGCCAGACTTCTCCGAACAGTAGATGGGTGTACCTGGGTCCCACTGGTTTCCTCCAGTTCTGTGCTGATATCACTGCTTGGCATCTTTTGATGTCAAAGGGCAATAAGCATGATGTGCCTTTGATCTGCTGCATTAAATGTTCTTGGCCGACCATTGTGCCTGCAGTTCCCCCTGTTGCCCATTTCTTTATGCTTCTTCAAAAAAGCTTGAATACCACAACCTGAAACCCAACTCTGCTTGAAATCTTTCCCTGGCAGAGACCTTGCTAATACAATATAACTACCTTGTGTCTTGTTGCTGAACTCAGTCTTGCCATGGCATATGACCTGTGACATGAAACGGTCTTCCACGGCCTCACCTTAATAGCAGAGTTTGGTTGCTCCTCACACCCAGTTTTAAGCCTTCTACACAGCTGTTTCTGTTTCAGTTAATGACTGTTTCAAGCATCTGTGATGGTCTGTGGAGGCATATCCATGGAGGGATGCAGAGACTACAGGCTAGACAATGGCACCCTGACTGCCATTAGGTATTGGGATGAAAACCTTAAACCAGGGGTGGACTGACAACTCGAGGGGCCCCCGGGCAATAGGGGATCATGGGGCCCCTGTGTCCTTGCTGAAACTCAAAAAAGCCTATGAAAAAGGTACCAGGGGCATCTCATGGGGCCCCCTACTGACCCTGGGCCCTAGGGCAGTGCCCAAGTTTCCAAATGGTCAGTCCGCCCCTGCCTTAGACTCACTGTCAGACCCTACGCTGGTTCATTGGGTCTTGGGTTCCTCCTAGTGCATGACAATGCCTGGACTCATGTGGCGAGAGTATGCAGGCAGTTCCTGGGGGATGAAGGTATTAATACCATTTAATGGCCCCCACACTTGCCTGACCTAAATACAATAGAACACCTCTGGGACATCATGCTTTGGTCCATCCGACACCGCCAGGTTGTACCTCAGACTGACCAGGAGCTCAGTGATACCCTGGTCCAGATCTGGGAGGAAATACCGCAGGACACCAACCATCTTCTCATGAGGAGCATGTCCCAACGTTTTCAGGCATGCATACAAGCACGTGGGGGCCATACAAACTACTGAGGACCATTCTGAGTTGCTGCAATTAAATTTCAGCAAAATGGACTAGGCTGCTGCATCATTTTTTCACTTTCATTTTCGGGGTGTCTGTGAATGCAGTCCTCTGTAGGTTGATCATTTTCATTTCCATCAAACGTTGTGGCATCCTTATGTTCCTAACACATTGCCCAGTCCATATCAGTATATCCAGCATGATATTTTTCCCCGTTGAGATCTGATGTGTTTTCAAAGTGTTCCTTTAATTTTTTTGCGCAGTGTATTTTTGAAAGCATTCTTACTTTACAGTATTTATTCACACCTGTCTAAAACTTTTGCACAGTACTGTATGTACATATATATTGCAGGAGTCTGTAACGCACACATTGCAGGGGTATATAATGCAAAAAGTACATAATGCACGGAGTGCTGCAGTCAGGAATATGTAAAGCAGACTTCTCTTTTTTTTTTTGAGGCTTAAATGTTTTTCCTAAAACATACCAAAATCCTCTCTAACCTGGCTATAATAAGATACACATACAGTTATTTATATTGTAAATTTTATAATATTTAGCTTTTTGATATATAGAAAATTGCTTGTTATTAAATATATATGTAGCACATACATTGTTATATGCCTGTAATAGCTAAGTGACAGGGTGTGATGTGACGAGATGACTATCTGTGCTGAGAAGAATATAAAAGGAGATACTTGCCGCCAGTTTGCAGGAGCCACAGTTCTAAACAAAACTGTGATATGGAACAACGCCTAGTCCTCCTGGTGATCTTCTTAATGTATATTCTTTCTGTACCAGCCCCATGTGCAGGTAAGCATGTTAACTACCATTGAATTACAGGCCAAAGCTTTATGTCATATATATGTTTTTTCTGTTGCATTAGACAAAGAGGGGTTGATTGACTAAAACAGGTGCACTCGGAATCTGGTGCAGCCGTGCATGGTGGCCAATCAGTTTCTAACTTCAGCTTGTTCAATTAAGCAATAAACTGATTGGTTTCTATGCACCCGATTTTGCACGCTCCAGTTTTAGTAAATCAACTTAAGAGTGTCAGCCATCAGCATCTGTGCCCTACCTGTATTCTGCAAGCTTGACATTTTTCACCATTTACCCAAGATAATATTGTATTGGACAGTTGAAAACAATCAACCATATACTATATATAAAAGCACCATTCAGGCATCTGGTATGTGCCATTCTACACATTTACCTGTTATCAGAACTAGGAACCTCATAGTTACATAGTTAGTCTGCCTGAAAAAAGACAAAAGTCCATTCAGTTCACCCATTAAAAAAAAAAGTTATAATCTTACACCCACAGTTTATGCCTTCCAGAGGAAGGCAAAAAAAAACAGCAAAGCACGATCCAATTTGCTCCTGCAGAGGAAAAACATTCCTTCCTGATCCCCCCGAGAGGCAATCGGATATTCCCTGGATCAACTTTACCTAGAAATGTTAGGAGGCTGGCCATAGATTATACAATTTTCTTGAGACTTTTGGTTTAGATTTAACAAAAACCATATAATATGAGGTCAAACCTAACAACATTTTCAATTGTATCCAATTAGGCAGGCTCTTGTACTACATAGTTGAAGGTAAATCTAAAGGAAATTGGGCAGAAATTGGACAGAAAATTGTATAGTGTATGGCCAGCCTTAGCGTCCAGTTATATTCTAGGAAAGAATCCTAGAATATCTAGGAAAGAATCCAGACCTTTTTTAAAGCAATCCACTGAGCTGGTCAGAACCAACTCTTGAGGGAGTCTTGAGGAACATACTTCACATCTAAGCACTTCACATCTTCACATCTATGTGGTTGATGCTACTTTTAGGTACATTTTTCATGCATTTTGATGTGTTTTCATACTTCTTGCGTTTTTTTTTTTTTAGTAGGAAAGGACACTGGTTGTTAAACACAAAACCTTACAAAAAATGCATCAAAAACACACGTACATCCATTTCTGATGTGTTTTTGTTTCACAGAAATGTTATTGCTTTTGAGTGTTGGTACAGGGTATGTAAAGCATTCACATTTAGAAAAAAAATGCATATAGAATTCCTAGATTGTAAGCTGGAAAGAGCAGGGCCCTGAGCAAACCTTTCTGGCGCTATATAAATACTGTATAATAATAATAATAGAAACAGTGAGGTTACAAAGGCAAAAAAACAATAGAAATAGGTCCACCAACAGAGTAGAGGTGACACTGCAAATGACATCTCAAATTGTAAGGCACAAGCAGGGGTGGACTGACAACTCATGGGGCCCCCGGGCAATATGTGATCATGGGGCCCCTGTGTCCTTGCCCAAACTCAAAAAAGCCTATGAAAAAAGGTACCAGGGGCATATCATGGGGCCCCCTACTGACGCCGGGCCCTCGGGCAGTGCCCAAGTTTCCAAATGGTCAGTCTGCCCCTGGGCACAAGTTACTGCACATATTCGACTGCGGACTGGGAGAAGCTGCCCTGATTCTACTACTTATGAAGGTCTATGCCTCGATGGGGGCAGTAGGAGTAGGGTATTCCAGAACCCTAGACGAGGGTGAAGAGTGAGAGAGAAGAGGGGAGTGAGCAGAATATCACCCAAAATCCACGGCGGGCGGCAGATAGGAAGAAAAGGGGGTGTGGAGGCTCTATCCCATTACATAGCACATTAGATGTTTGTCCAAACGATCATATGGGGAGTAAACAACGGTCTGAGTTTAAATGGTCATTATAGGTTATCCAGGGATCCCTAAATCTTCAGAAATTCTGTGTGGTTGTCGATAAGTATAGATGTGGCCTTCTCATAGACCATGGTTCCCATGAGCCACTGCTTACCTTCAGCAAAATTAAGGAACATTTGGCCCCAGGCTCTGGCCAAGGTCCGCCAAGGACAGTTTGTGGAGCCAAAAAAACACACTGTTCTGCATGTAAAAAAGTATCTGCACCTTTCCAAAAAATGGATTGCAGGAAAGTGCAAAGATATGAATTGAACCCATAGGAAATAATAATAATAATAAATTGAATGTACTGCATTTCTGCAGATCTACAAATGTACTAAGAAAAGGCATAGATGTGAACCTAGCCTAGTGTATTCGTGCCAGTGTTAACAATAAAACCGAACTGCAAAATTGAGCTAATGTCCAAGTAGTCAGTATAATTCTGCAAGTATGTCATTATATGATCTGCCTTTCAAGGTCAGAGGAGTTACACTGCTATGGTAATAGATATGCAAGTCACAATACATAGCTTACATAGCTGTATATTATTATTCTTATACAGGATTTATATAGCGCCGACAGTTTGCACCGCAGTTTACAAAATGAGGACAGACAGTAGTTACAATACAACTCAATACAGGAAGTATGAGAAGGTCCTGCTTGTTAGAACTTGCGGTCTAAAAAAAAGGAGGGTCAAGTGATACAAAAGGTAATAACCGTGGGGGATGAGCTGATGGAGAAAAAAAAAAAGTACAGTTGTTAGGTGGGGCAGGATAGTCTTCTCTAAAAAGATAGGTTTTCAGGGATTGTTTAAAAGTGGAAAGACTAGGAAATACAAAAACTGGGGTAAGGAGTTCCATAGGATGGCAGAGGCTCAGGAGAAGTCCTGGTGGTAAGTATGGGAGGAGGTGACAAGGATGCTAGATTGCAATATAAGGTAATCTGGGGGAAATAAAGACATGGTAATGTCAGAAGTGGTTATGCTCAAGGGAGGACTGACAACTCATGGGGCCCCCCAGGCAATAAAAGATAATGGGGCTCCCTGTGTCTCCGTCTACACTCAAGCCAAAGACACACCCACACAACACCCCACCTACATATTGCAGCTCTACTACATAGAAAGGGCATTAAAAGTAATTAAAAAAAAATAATAAAACAACATTGTTGGGCCCCCCCTCCATTCATACCAAGCCCTTCAGGTCTGGTATGGGTTTTGAAGGGAACTCCCACGCCAAAATTTAAAAATTGGCGTTGGGTCCCTCCCAAGAGCGATACCAGACCCTTATCCGAGCATGCAGCCCGGCAGGTCAGGAAAAGGGGAGGGATGAGCGAGCACCCCCCCCCCCACCCCAAACAAAATAGATCCAATGTCAATCATGATACCCGCTGTCTCCGCTACCCGAAAAAAGAAAAAAAAAAAGGCTCATCTCCCAAATCTGGCTCCCAGCCGTCTGAAAGCTCTTCTGGCTTAACAGTTCTTAAATATGCTCTGGTGATGCTGCACTGATATGCAGCAATGATGGCCACTGAAAGGCAGCACTGATGGGCACTGACTGGTGGCACTGATGGGCACTGATAGGCGGCACTGATGATCAGGGTACTGTCAATCTGACACTGACACTGTAGATGGGGCACCATTCCCCCCACTGATACCATAGATGGGGCACTATTCCTCCCACTGACACCGTAGATGGGGCACCATTCCTCCCACTGACACCATAGATGGGGCATCATTCCTCCCACTTACACCGTAGATGGGGCACTATTCCTCCCACTGACACCGTAGATGTGGCACCATTCCTCCCACTGATACAGTATATGGGACACTATTCCTTCCACTGACACCGTAGATGTGGCACCATTCCTCCCACTGATACAGTAGATGGAACACTATTCCTCCCACTGACACTATAGATGGGGCATTATTCCTCCCACTTACACTGTAGATGGGGCAATATTCCTCCCACTGACACCGTAGATGTGGCACCATTCCTCCCACTGATACAGTAGATGGGGCACCATTCCTCCCACTGACACCGTAGATGTGGCACCATTCCTCCACTGATACAGTAGATGGGACACTATTCCTTCCACTGACACCATAGATGTGGCACCATTCCTCCCACTGACACTGTACATGGGGCACTATTCTTCCCACTAACACCATAGATAGGGCACCATTTCTCCCAATGATACATAGATAGGGTACTACTCCTCCCACTGACACCAATGATGGGGCACTATTCCTCCCACTGACACCAAGAGTGGGGCATTATTCCTTCCACTAACACCAGGAGTGGGGCACTATTCCTCCCACTGACATCAGGAATGGGGCACTATTCCTCCCACTGACACCAATGATGGGGATTATTCCTCCCACTAATACCAATAATAGGACACTATTCCCCCCACCGATACCAATGATGCGGTAGTATACCTACCAATGACACCAATGATGGACACTGTTCCTCCCACTGACACCATAGATGGGGCACTATTCCTCCCACTGACACCAATGACACTATTCCTCCCACTAATACTAATGATGGGGCACTATACCTACCACTGACACCAATGATGAGGCAGTATTCCTCCCACTGACACCATAGATGGGGCACTATTACTCCCACTGATACCAATGATGGGGCACTTTATCACTGACACCACTGGTGAGGCACCATTCCTCCTTCTGACACCAACGATTCAGGTTATTCTTCCCAATAATACCAATCTTTCAACAGGCAGCATGTAATTATTTCACCTCCACTGATCACTAAGTCTGAGGTATTTTCTAGTCCCAGTAGCCAAAATCTGGCCCTCCTAAAGTCTGAAGGACATTAAACTGGCCCTTTGTTTAGAAAGTTTGGAGACCCCTGCTTTAGAGCAAGGATTCTCAACCAGCATTCCATGGAACCCTAGGGTTCCTCTACAGCAGTCTTTTTCAACCAGGGTACCCAGATACCCTGGGGTGCCTTTAGGCATCTTGAAGGGTGCCTTGGCAAAATGCCTACAAATTGCCCAAAAAGCCAGCCAGTAGGTGGATCAAGCCTGCCTTTTAGTACACAAAGCCACAGGTTTTCATTTCATTTACAACCTTGTAGCTGCCAGCATC